AGAGAGAGAGAGAGAGAGAGAGAGAGAGAGAGAGAGAGAGAGAGAGAATTGAGTTTCAATTTGTCCTAGTGAAGATGAAGGGAGGTTCAGTTCAGGATATACGGGCGGGCCAGCCTGGGGCAGGGCAGCGCTGGCTTTCAGCCCACAGATGGAGCTCTACGGTCTGGGCCAGCAGAGATTAATCTTCTCCCTGTCCCCTTGAAGTCCCAGAGCAGACTTTCTCTCCACAAGGCCAGCCACACAAGCTCAAAGGCCACCTGTGTGTGGAAGGTAAAAGAAGAAAGAACTTACGACACGAGCACTGTATATGTATAGCAAGGACCCCCCCCCCCCCCCCCCATATCTCTTTCTCCCTCTCCTTTGTCTCTTTTGCTTGATTAACCGAGTGCTGAGACAAAGACTGTCAGAGAAGCTTACATACAGCGCCTGTACCTTAGCCGAATTTATAAGCTCCTAAAGCCCTTATGTCAAAGAGCTTTTCACGCAACTTTTTCATTTTCCTGTAGCGTAATGCAACTTTATCATTCCTCTGATGCCTCCCATCGGAAGGCAGAGTTTATATTAAATCAGAACCCTTCACATATAAGTGAAGCACTGTTGGCATGCTTGACTCGCTGACTGTGGGAAAAGCTTACAGATGACACAATGAAAAATAAACTGTCAACAGGATATGACTTTGGGGAGATCAGATCATTGGTCTTGGGAGTTTCGTCTGTGTAAACCAGCTGTCGGGGAACTATTTTTCCCATATTGCTCCAGTTCTTACAGACCTCTGAGGTCAGGAGCTTCTCTCTTTCTTCGGGGTCCTTTCAAAGGGCTCTGGGGAGAACAGTTGTTCCTGTCCCTGCAAGTGAGATCTTTATTTTATCCGTGTGCAATTTGTATGCTGCTCTTCTCCTTCTGTTATCTGTATTTCTTGGACAAATTTTTCCTTTTTCTCCCTCTATTTCTCAGGTACCTTGTGCTAGAACATGTGTCTGGTGGTGAGCTGTTTGACTACTTGGTGAAGAAAGGCAGGTTAACACCTAAAGAGGCCAGGAAGTTCTTCAGACAAATCATGTCTGCCCTGGATTTTTGCCACAGTCATTCCATATGGTAAGTGAAATGCAAACAGACGTATTGACTAGCTGCTAGTAACATGTATTTTGGTAATTGTTGGACTAAGTTAATGTATATGAAGTATAGAAATCAGATACATTCGTTTACACGAATCACAGTAAAGTGGACAACAGTACACAGAAGTTCTGGTACACAGTCGTACACTAAGGCAAGTTCACCATGCTGTTTTAAATAAATATCGGCAGGTCTACCTTAAGAATCACATTCACTTTCTGCATAAAACCATCATATACATTTAAAAAGACAAAACAACCAATAAACATAAGCATACCCAGGAGGTGTAACAAAGTCAATTTGGTTGTCTTACAACATTAAACAAATAATGAGTTCCCAAATAATGAATTATAGAAAGACACAGATTCTTCCTGAAGTGAATCTACAATCTAAATTTCAATCAGTTTATTCATAGCTTTGAGGCGCTGTTAAGTTTTCAAGCCAATGATTCAATGTGGAGATTATAGAACTGAGAAAACTTGATATGGCTCGTTATGAAAGTATTTATTCTTTTGTCTTTCTTAAAGTTTCTGTTTTAACATCCAGTTAAATCCAGACAGATGTACGGTATATGCTTTGGTTTGGGGCAGATTGAAATGCAGTTTCCACATGAATCGCTCAGGTTTCATTTGTAGAGCAGAGCAGAAGTGACTCTTTTGTTAGCACACAGTGCATTTTCTTTACTGGGCTTTGCTCAGTATTGAGTCATTGTTTTTGTTGAAATTTGCCTCCAGGTAGTTACTAATGTGATGCATTGTGTTTGGCTTTAGGGGGTAATTTAACTGTTTACCAGCTCATCAACTAGAAGCAATCATATATACTTCAGAAGTCAAACATGTCAGCGGGGACTGATTTAGAGCACTCATTTGTGTGTGTGTGTGTGTGTGTGTGTGTGTGTGTGTTGTATCCATTTGTGATCCTAAAGCAGAGAGTGAGAGTAAATTTATCTTCCTCTCCAGAGAGTGTATGTTCTTGCTCTGCATTTTTTCACAAAACAAGTGCCACCGAGCAGAATGAGTTCAAGTGTATGCAGTTTTACCTTCGTCACAAGTTAATCTCGAGGGAAGACGAGATAGGAACAAAAATAAAACTGCATTCAACTAATAAGTCACAAGAAAAGATGACACCATGTACAGAGGCATTTAGGATGGGTGACCATGATGCTGCTACTCAATGGTTGGTCATTTTGGGTACATGGTCACTGGGAAAAAAGGTTTAATTCCAAACCGTAATGTAAACCAAAACAGTGGCTAATTCAGACGGGGTTAAAATTGTATCAATTGGTCTCGTTGTTTTTTTCTTCAGTTTTCCACAGGATTTTCTGGCAGCGATAAGAGACCAGATGCTTCTTTAATTGCATTATTTAGAAGAATTTTTAGATCACAAACAAAATAAATGTGGTCGTTATGCAGAACATTACGAGGTTGTTTCTTGTTGCTCATATACAACAGAGGCCTCAGACTACAAACATTACGATATCACCTTAAAATGGCCATGGTCAGAGAGGGTTTTATGGCGTGGCACTACGATCGGTCGCTAGCCGGTCAACTTTGTGCCAAAGCTATTGTGGCCAAAAGCGCTGGAGAGAGAGAGAGAGGCTTGTCTACTCGTCTCAGCATAGTTTAGTATAATTGAAAGTTTCCTGAATGGCTTCCTACTGATGATGATTGGAAGCTGGTAAAAAAAAAAGGTTTAAATATTCCCTAGAACCTGGTGTAGAGTACCGACTGCCTGGGAGACAGATTTGCATAATGTTGCACGGCAATTATTAGGAAAGAATTAAACTGATTTGTCATGGAATGATTAGGTACGGTTGAATTTTTGTGATTGGATATGCTTTGTATTGCTGCGCAGTATAGTTTATAGAAGGGGCAATTACATTATGGCTGCTGCTATTTAATAATACATCCTTGTGTCAGAATTACTTTTTATACTTCACTGATTGTGTTGAGACGATGCACTTGAGATCATTTTATTCTGTGAACCATCAAACAGGTAGTTAGATTCCATCTTGAATTCTCAGAGAGAATTAAAAAAAAAAAAACAGAAGATAACTTTTGCACCACTGGAAATAGAACAAAACGGTCCAACCTAAGGGAATGAAAGTTAGAAGTCTTTTATCAGTCTGTGTAAATAACTGACTGCGAGAAGAACAGATTAGGCCAATTATGAGAGTGCATCTGGGACTGAAATTAAGTGCATGCACATACATAGATTATCGCAGCTCTTCTGTAGTAACATTCACTTGAAGATGTACTCTCCCTTCCTGATTTGCTTTGCTGTTGTCTGCCTGTCCTAGCTCCTCAAATCCCTTCACCAACACGCGTTGAAAAAAAAAAAAACTGTCAATTTATCATGAGGAGGATTATTTTGGAGTGCTTCTGCACCCACTCGCCCTCCTCCCAACCTCAATTACAAGTCAACGGACAGACAGACGCAGCCCATCTCACCTCCCTTCCAAGGGAAGGACCCAGCATCCCCTCAATAAAAAGCATTTCTGCAATCACTTTTTCCATTTCTTCTCGTCTGCACAGGGGACCTACACAGGCCATTAGGAGTGCTCTTTTTCTGTCTGTGATTCACTGTGCATAGGGGGGTAAACGCATGCTCCTTACCCCTCCTTTTCTGCACACCTCCCATTTTTCACTTCTTCTCATTGCTTCATGCTTCCGCCCTCCGCCCACATCCTATCCCCAAATATCTCTCTTGAGCCAGATGGATGTAAGCGTAGATATGAATGAAAGAGCGTAGAGGGCTGTTTATGACTCAGTGTTTCCGCTGCCTGATTCAGATCGCACTCTGATTTTCTTTTCTTTTTTTACGTGGAGGAAGAGAAAGGGAAAAAGTGAGGCACACGGGGGGAGAGAGCTGACGAGGGAGATGAGACAAAGATAGCTAAGGGTAAAAACAGACATGGGAAAGGCATCGTCAGTAGGAGATAGTTATAATGAATACTGAGGCGGTGAGAGAAAATCTTCACTGTATGTTAATATAGATCCAGTGTCTAAACTTTTAGCTCTTTTCCTCCTCACTAAGAAATGTCTTGAGTTTGGATATTATTCGTAAAGTCAATTCCAATATGAGATGTGCAACTCAGATGCAGAGAGAGCCTGATTGAGAGAGCACAACCCACATGATGATATTTTATTGATCCGTGTGAACGTTTATCTTTCAATCCCTCTGCAGGAATGTCAAAGGTCAGGTTCAGCTACAGAACAGCTCTCCTAGAGCTGCTTTGGATTCAGTCGTTGCTCATACTAAAGGTTTCAAAGGCCAGCATAACAAAGTGTATGCCCCGAAGACAGACGATAATATTGCAGATACTTTACTTGCAGATACTTGTTTACCTGAGAAGGGAATCCCCACAGCAGCTTCGGCTGCATCTTGTCAGTTTTGACATTCAACAAATTCCACATCTGCTACACAGTAGACACTTTCCAGAGAAGTCGATGTGGCAGTCTGCCTGAACACCCAACAGAGACACAGAATGACTGAGAAGTGTAAAGTTTGTTTTCCTTGTGCACTCAACAAAACTATTGTGGGCTTTTTAGCCATTGTTTGAACCATATTATCAGATTAGAAGTGAATTGCCATTTGTTGTCATCTACGCATTTTACTACCTTTTTTACTTCACTTGAATTTACCACAGAAAGCACTGTATGCTCTGATTTCCTCTGATAAACCTAATGCACAATGTCTCTATTCTCATGCGAGCAATAAAGGTATATTGTATTGATTCTTTTCAGTGTTCCTGAAGCCGCAGGGAGACTATACTCAGAATAGGCGGTCAAGCGAGCTCGGGTTGACACCAAACACACCCCTGTCCCTGCTGGTCATTTAGTCCAGCCACTCCCACTACACCATTTTGTCATATGGTGTACAAGCAGAGATTTTCTTATTGGCATGAGCAAACATACTTACCAACCATCCACACAATAAGAAGCACGATTTCACCCTGACCACAACTCACTCAGTTTTATTCCTCGCCCCTGTTCTGTTTGTTTAGCAATGACTTTAGTCTTTCCCCTTGTGACCCAGTTAACAACCCGATGCTTGTGTGGGTAACGGATGAAGACTATCTGTCACATAAAGTGACTCCGAGCATCCCGCCACAAGTAAGGCAGAGATTGCTAGTGCACCTTGGAAAGAGAGCCCTGTCCCTAAAGCCCAAAGCTTCATCATACATGCTCTCACAGTCACACGTCCCTTTTATCCCTCAGACTGATTATTTCCACCACCTTCATGTGCACAAACAAACACCTGGTTCAGAAGTCACATTAAACCCACACTGGGGCATAATCATGCACATCATCCCCATTTACTCTCTCACTCTGTGTCTCCCACACTCTCCCTCTGCCATTAGCTGCTTTATTTTTCTCTTTCAAGGGCCTGGAGATCTGTCCACAGCCTCACTTGCTCAGAGCTCCACAAAGCTTTTTTTCCACCATGGCATATGTAATTGACAACTGACAAATCAAGGTATTCTTCTTCATATTAATCCACAAATAGCATGTAAATTCAATTTTGGTAATACAACAAAAAGTATTTTGGTACATCAGTAGAGACAGTGAAGCGCAATCCAGACCTGCCTCGAACTGTGTGCCACCCTCTCACTCTCTCTCACTCGGTGTGTTGTCTTACATCTGTTTTTATCTTTATTTTCAGTTGGTAAATTAATAAAACAGTGGAAACCTCAGACTGAAAGTTTAAATGTTGCCTGAAAGTTTTTTTACACTTGGATGTGTTGGAAAACTTAGTAAATCAATTAAAACATGCTCAAAGTGCAGACTTAGCCAATAAATGATGCCGTTCGTGAAGCACTTGACTTATTTATCACTCAAACTTCCACTCCACGGATGAGACAAGGAAACAGCGACAGGTGTGTGTGGATCGAGGAGGAAGCTATAACCTTCCTCACATTAACACATGAAACAAACGTAGATGCAATATTTCCATCACGTTTTCTACGTTGTTCTCCATCGTTTGAGGTTTGACTGACGCTCTTTTAAACATGGCATCTTGTTGTGCGCTCTTCTTCTGCAATGGTGTAATGGAAACTTGCCACCAGCTGTTTACCTCGATGCGCCCCAACTCCTAGTATTAGCATAAAGGCGGATGGAAACACACACACAACGCAGCTTCTTTGTTCCTCATCTTTTCCTCTTTCTACAGCATGAAGTTCATGTTAGCCTCTGTGTCATCTTCTGTGCGTCCATTCCTCTATCAATAGCGGCCCATGCCCTTGTGGCTGTTTGTGTTGACAGTTTTAGGAGAGTTTCCTCAGATGACAGTCTGACTGTCAGTCTGCCTTCATGCAGAAAGCCTGTCCTTGTAGCCTATCATCATTATGGCTGATGGCCGCTAACAACACAGAATTGTCTTTTACAATGTTCTGATATTTTCCCTCTCCCGCAGAGGCAGTTAAAGCCTTGAGAAGGCGTTGAGGTGTAACCGGGTGAGAGGAGGGAATTTGATGATGAGAGGAGATGGAATAGAGAAATGGAAAGGGCATGGGTAACATGGAGCCAGATGAGGGAGACCAAAAGTAGTAGGTTTGGTTCATGATGTTTGATTTCAGGGGAATGGGCTAGTGATTGTAAGGGGAAGTGTAGCAAGAATGTCGATTATGTGGAGAATAAGGTGACGAAAAGAACCAGTTTTACCTCAGGTAATGATAAATAGTATTCACTTATCTAATGTTTGACAGGCACAATGGACTATTTTAAGAGGACTTCTGCACCACCATGCCATGCCATGGCTGTCTATATTGGATGCCTGATGTTGCTAGGGGGTTTTTAATATCTATGCCACTCCTTCACTCCAATGCTTTTCTGACAGCTTGTCTGTTTATGCCTTGAAGGTCCACTGCTCATCCTATCTTCCTCAGTCAAACTCCTCTGGATAAAGAGCAAAGGCTGGGTTGCACACAAAGATTTGGCACAACAAAGCAAATAGTTTATTTATCACAAAACTAGACATCATTGTAATCCCCACTTTTTGATCACTGCATTAAAGGCAACAATGCATTGCTTCCCCAGTGTTGCTTAAAACCCCAGAGGAATAGATAGAAGTGTCCCAGATGGCACAAGATGGAATGCTCTTGTTACCAGTTACTGGAGTGGCAAATCCTGTGTGCCTTCCTTTCAATTCTAATCCAGTTTAAATGCAAATGATATTAGAGGAGACTACTGAAATGTGTAGGGCACGAGTATAAAGAGAAGAGGCATTACGTACTGTACTAGCTATCCAAGTGAACTTCGAAGGCCTTGATGAGGATGTGACCAAAGGTGATATGATGGGAGGAAACGGCTTCAACTTTGGCACTTAAGGAACAAACTGTGCATCTGAAATTGTTCTTTCATTGACTAATTACAATTCACATTTAAAGTAAAAAAAATTGATTTAGTGTGTTGTTATCAGTTGACATAACACAATCAGACAATATTCAGAGCATGGGCAATGTACGAAGGCAGTTGACACTTTTTTAGTGACCACTAATGGCTTTTAAATGTTGCTTTGTGTGATACTTTGTTTTATGTTATAGTGGTCAGGGGGCTGGAAATTAGCATCAACTACACTGTATATGTTACATTTGTTGCTTTTTAACAATGTTTCGCTGAATGGTACGTTCAAGTACTGTGCGGGGCAGAGCAGTGAAGGACAGGTGCTTGTTATTATCAAAGTAAAATAAGTTCAAAATTTTGCTTTCTCAAAGATAATAGAGACCTTTAATTTATGTGTAACTGTCTGTGACCAGTTGCACCAATTTAAACCCACCTGGCCTTGCTTTTTATCTGTACCTTTATACATAAAAAAAATACATAAACTACAGAATAATATTGCAGAAAAACTCATTCACCAATCTCCTGCTGTAAGCTTTATCTTTCTCATCCTTTTTTGATTTTAATACACAATTAACCCCATTGGCTAATGAACGATTAAGGCTGCAGTCCGAATGTTGTCCTCTTTCGCTAATGCAATGGAATAATGGCTTAAAGTGTTTTCAGTAAATGACTCGGTCTCTCTCTAATTGGGTCAACAGAAGCCTTAGAAAGTTTGAGAGAAAAAAGGGAAGATAGAGAGAGGAGGACACAGAGGTGTGCTGGAGGCTAAATGGATGCATTTCAGCTCACGACTGTTAAAAAACCCACTTCAACTGACAATAATGGTACCAGGATAGCTCTAGTACTTCATGAAAAGGCAGAAACAGGTGTGCTATTTCCCAGGCATGATAATACGTCAAAGATGCATTTGAGCCATTAGTGTTAGTTTCAAGTGTTTCCATTTAGCTAATTAGTGCTACGTATCTTGTTGTGGCTTAACGAGAGGCAATATTAAACATGGTGAATGTCAAATGTTTCACTATGGGGAAAGTATATTTTTCTTGGGCTTGAGGATTTAGTTACAAAACTGCTCATCACCATAAATATGTCTGGGATATTATAAGGATGTGAGCCCCAAGAGGACAGACCCATTACAAGCTTCTGTAAAACAGAACATATCAGCATGGTCCGTGCAAATGATCACAGGCAATTAAGAGCTTGGTGTTAAATTGCAAGAATCATGTCTTAACAGCCCCACTGGGGTGCAAACCTTGTTCAGGCAGCATGTAGACACGCACGTGTGCCCTGTAAATTACACTGAACGGCATCGTAAGAGCGTCGTGCACGATGAACAGTGAGGCATGCACTATATATCCAGGTACAACTATGTAATAGAAAAAATGTATGCTAACTTGATGAATGACAATAGTCAGCCGTAAATAGTGCCCTTCCTTAGGTGTTTTTCTATTTCTCTACTATATCTCTATATGTACTATATTGGCCGAGCGTAGCTCACACATTTATGTTGTTTAATTTCCTGCACAAATCACCTGTGCAAATATAATAATACATTCATGACATTTAGAGTAAACAAAAAAGGCATTCCTCCCAGACTTGCTTGTGGTGCTCAGCTTCCACATTTCTGGAAAGAAGAACTAGAGTTGCATTCAAGCTCATTGCAGCTGTCGAGTTCATTTAACGGCGTCTCCTCCTGTATGACATATGAGTGCAACACAGAGATACCCCGGCTGCAAGGCCTGCTGTGTGAGCGAGATTACAGTTGCAAAGTGCGGCCTAATGTGTCAGAGAGGCAGTTTAATGTCCTATGATGGAAACCAGGGTCCCGACAACCAATAAAGCATCCAGATGCAATTTGTCCCCTTGATGCTGTCGGCGGATAACTACGCTGTTGCCTTCTTTCTTTTGTGGATCAGTCTCTTGTGGTTTGGCTCTTTGTGTTTAACATGTGATAGGCCCGTGATTACACAATGTTAATGCCATGTTTATGGCTCTTTTTGGGGAATGATTTAGCCTGCATTTTTGCATCTGATGCTGACAGTTTAAGAATACTTATATTCATGACTATGTGACTGTGGTTCTCTGATTCCGTTAGGATCAGCAGGTTATCTGATAGCAAACACTGTCCTATACACTAGCCACAATCAGGGCTTTCATTGCTGTTGCTTTTGTCACTGATGTCACACCAAATGATTTAACTTCCTTCTGGCCCTTTTGTCTAAGTCAAAGTTACAATTTGACCTTCTGTCTAAAACATTTATCTGCTGGGAGGAAAAATATTCTTAAAGCATTACTTAATCAGGCATGTTGACGACTGTAAAGGTTTGTTCCTTCCTCATGTGCTTTCACAGAATTAGCTAAAAGACTAACTTGCCGGCTGCTGACGTCACTTCCAAATGATGGTTCTGTGAATTGATAGAGGTTTTAGCCTGGGGAGAAGTGTTTTAGATGCTATCTGTGTTTTATTTCAATTATAGCAGGGATCACAGACACTGCCAGTGTGATAACAAACCAGCTGATGGCTTATCCCTCAGGACAGGAAAGGAGTTGTACAGCAGCTGATGTCATCTAAGGTTAAACGTCCATTGTGATGAGGCGCTCTTCAAAGGCAGATGAATCCAGCTATTATTCCTCTCCCCTTTCTATCATTAGTCTAAAGAGAAGATGAAAGTCTAGTTCATGACATGCTAACAGCCCCGTGGCTCTATAACTCTCCCCCTGATTACAAAATGCAGAGGGAGGTAAGCAAGTATACACATATTTAAGGATGTATTAATAAAAAGGATAGATATCAGTGTATGAACATTGTCTACGGTGCTTCCCTCAGCCTTGGTAGATATCACAAGAAATGCACAGTGTGATGTGATACAACCCTCGACCCCTGAAGAGATGTTAAATTCACGATAAAACACTAACAAGTCTCTGCTTTTGAACAGTCACTCATCAAAATTCAGATTTTAACCTCCGACACAGCAACGGCGTACGCGATATGAGAAAGATCTTCCTCTCAATAAGCCTTTTAAAGGAAGGAGACTATGTCCGCTGGATATTAACTCCCTCGCTGTGTTGGCGGTAATAAATGGCAGCTATGAACACCACCTCTGCGGCCGTCTCCCCTTTGCTCAGCCAGTTTGCTGGTGGCTGTCTGGGAGATGAGAGGACGGGGAAGAGGGGCAAAGAGGGAGGTAAACAGAAGGAGAAAAGGACACAGCAGGGGGCTGTCACACCTCGTACCAGCCCGGCGCTGAGGTGGGAGCCCCTTATCCTCAGCATGGACCGATCAAAGAGAGAGGTGTTGCTGAGGGGAGGAGGGCGCTCAGTAGCAGGTTAAGATGCTGCGTTGTTCACAGTTGTGTGCACCAATGTGGATCCACAGGTGTCTGACAGACTATGTAACACGTCTTCTCCTCTGTTTCCCTAGTTTATATAACCTATGATGAACTCTTTCATGTTTCATTAACATGTTTAACATGTTTTCTGTCTCCCTCTCTTTCAGCCACAGGGATCTGAAGCCTGAGAACCTGTTGCTAGATGAAAAGAACAACATCAGGATAGCAGACTTCGGCATGGCCTCTCTTCAGGTTGGAGACAGTCTGCTGGAAACCAGCTGCGGGTAAGTGATATAGATGCAGTGTCTGACTCCCATCCTCTGCAAATTGAAATTTAGATGATTCTAAAAATGTCCTGAAGGTAAAAAAATAGGACATAGTTGGAGGGCACATGGAGCTGCAGGTATGTAGCAGAGAGCGATGGAGAGGAGAGTGGAGAAGCAATAGAGAATGGTGAGTGGAGCTATCAAGCCCTCTGCGAGGTGCCGTGTTCTCAAAGCCTCTGCTATCATGCCGTGTTGATCTCTTGAGGAGAGGCTGTTGGTGTCTCTCACAGAGAGTGCTATCTGGCTGTGAGCAGGGCCGAGGCCATGACCACACTTTACTGCTCTCCGTCTCCTTATATCTGACGCTGGGTTTTATGATCTGGCGGTCACGATCACGCCACAACCATCAATCCCACAAGACTGCAATGAATTCGCTCGCAGGAGAAGTCGCTTTCAAACTCTTTCGAATATTGTCATCCATTTCAGAGTTTTTGCGTGTTTTTATTTAACCCTGCAGCGTAGGGAACAGAGCACAGTCGCATCTGTCAATAAAATAAACAACTCAGTTGATGATGGTTTACTTGTGGTTATTTGGTTCATAAACTCAGTGACAGCATGGATTAACAGGAAGATTTCACTGCTGCACAAAACGAGTTTTATTTCACTCTCACTTACCTGGAATTCTACCTGGAGATGAGATGTCAACACATAAGCCCAGCCAATTCTTAACTGGGTTTATGACACATAGAGAATGTAGCAGAGTTTGTGATTTATATTGAACCCTGGAGATTATGCTTCACTAGAAGCCGCACAAGAAAACATCTCGATGTGCGTCATCTGTGGATTTAAAAAAATCTGTGACGGACATCTAAATCAATCCGGAGAAGCTGTGGTGTTATTAATAACCCAATAGATGTAAACCATGTTGTCTTTTTTGTGATCTGGATGTCTCTAGGAGAATCTTTGCTCTGTGGTTACACATGACACTGCATGCAGGGCTGGGAGATAGAGAGGCCCTGTGACATCTGTCCCCATCTGGATTATACCTCCAAATCAACCGCAACTGAAATTACACACACTGGCATACACGCAATCCCGCAAACACACACAGCTCTGGCAAGGCTTAGTTCATCCCTGACCTCTAGGACCCTTTGTCCTCTGCTTGTATGGTTGTCTCTCTGTCTGTCTCTGACTCCCTTTCTATAATGCACACGCACGGACATTTAAGCATGTGCATGCACACGCACACAAGCAGTTGAAACTGTTGCATAATTTTTTTCCGGCAGTAGCGCAGTGCCTAAGCTCTCATGACTCATCGGTCGACATCAGGACAACTGAGAGCACTGTGCATTGCTATCTGCAAGTAAAATGTGCAAGATTGAGTCATTCTGCAGCCACGATGACCCCACTGAAGTGTTTCCTTTTCCTGGAAAGGCGGCAGGATGCGACAGTTCTTACTCAGCCTTTTGCAGTATCCTAGTGTAGATCAACTGTATCTGTATTTTATTGCATTCAGCTTCTACTCGGAGCTATGCTTCTACCTGATCCAGGTGCATTGCATCTGCTTAGTCCCCCGCATACATTTGCAAAGTGCTGAAGATACTTGTTGCTGGTGAGAACACAGAGCTGTCCTACAGATGCACAGATGCAGGCCACACACAGCTAAGCAAAGAAGTTCATTTTTCGTTCCACTCTCAGCTCCATCACCGTGTGTGTGTGTGTGTGTGTGTGTGTGTGTGTGTGTGTGTGTGTGTGTCTTGCCTGATACATGAGAATGTGCCATACACTGCATGTGTGGTTATTGATTATTCATGCTCTTCTCACTGTCCCATCTCTAAGTGTAGATATGACAGTTTTTAATTAAACGCATTTATCTGGCCCCCTCTCACCATGCAGTAGTCTGACACAAATGTATTCCATTTGCCACGGGGTAATGGAGCTGAGTGAAGATGAGACTGACTCGCTCCAGGTAGAGTAGGGGGAGCCTCCGAGCACGTGCACGAATACATGCAGGCATATTCACATGCATAGACGAGCAGAGGCATTGACAAGAACATTACAAATATGGATCCAGGAACACACGTTCTCTCTCTCTCTCTCGCTCTCTCGCTCTCTGCGTAAGCCCAGCTGCGAGTTCATCAGTGCTTGCTGTTTGTTTAGTTCTGTTGCTTTTGATTGATGAGTGGAAATTATCTTGTAAGCCGCGAGGAGCTGCACAAATTTGGTTTAAAAAGATGAATTTTCATAAAGATGAGCTGCATGTCTCAGTGTCTCCGCAATATTGCCGGCCGATACAGCTGATTGCTCACACTGCTCGACGCTGCTCCATGCTCATACCTCTAGAGCTCATGATACTCTCCTTACAAACAGTAGGCCATGTTGTGTGTGTGTGTGTACTGTAAGGAACATCTTATGGTGAACTTAAATTCACCATAAGACCATAAGCTGTTCTTCAAAAGACTGCATTTTTCACTCTGGTCAGAGGGAGGTGGCTCTTAAAGCTCTCTATTTATCCTCTGCAATCTAGTCTCTAATCTGAACTCCTGGTGTGAGCAGCAATGGATTTTTATCATGATATAAATTTCCTGACATATGGGCTTTTATTGTGGCCAGAATTTTAATGTGATACGATACGATACAATTAAATGAACTTTATTTACGACTCTAATTAAATTAGGCCATTAAATGGAGGTAGAGCACAACAGGAAAGAGGGGTCATGAATACTCATGGATCCTCGCCACATGACTTTGGTAGTTTAAAAGAGTCCCACAGTGAAGAGATTGATACGTATGGAGTGTTTCAGTATGGAAAAGTTTAAAAGCCGACTAATGTGGACACATGTGGAAAGTAAGCCATAGAATTATGGGTCAGAGTAGAAGAGAGATGAGTACATTTCGAAGCATATACTGTAGATGATATGGCTGACTGAATTAGTGTTCTAATATCGACAAATTAGGATTCAGCTCGGATGCTTGTTTCCAGTCTGTACCTTCACCCTAGTGTTTGCCACCTAAAGCTACTGCAGCTAATTAGCTGACGCTCATGCTTGTTCCAGCTGTGGCTGATGTGCAGTGCAGTATTTTCATTCCTCGCTCATCTGCATAATGCACTATGACACCTGCAATCAGGAGGGCCGTATTTGCATAGGCTCATCATGTTTGAGCTTCCCGTTGACATGGCGGCAGTGTTTGTTATCGGCCAGTATTGTGACAGCCAGAGGAAGCCGCGCCGTCAGGGCTGGTATTCATGAGTACACAGGACGACAACAGACCTAATGGGCGCCATGTTTACAGACTTCAGATAGTCTCTCATTAGAGCCAGATATCCTGGTGTTAGATTAGACTGAGCGGGAGAAGGAGGCGGAAGACGTATCATCAGGCTGAGGGGTTTGGGGAGACAGGTGCTTGATTTGCTCTCTGTTTGCCGTCACATGTGGGCATGTCGAGAAAGAGCAGAGCCTTCCCCAAAATCAGAGAAACAAAAAAACATCCTGGAGCTGAAGGGTATTTTGATTTTATATTGATGGAAAGCACTTATTATTACCCATTTCCTTTTATTTCAAGGGGCTGGATTTGTCAATCTGGCAATGTCAAAGAACTACAACAGCACCACTGTGTATGTATAGAATGACAAGTCACTCCATAGCGTTTCATAACCAGTGGCTTTAGGAGCAGCCATTGCGAGGTAGCTCCATAGATCTTCATAAGATATTGATGTATCAATCTAGGCATTGGGTTTACTGTCAGCCCGTCCAGGTGCAGTAAAGATTAGTGGGTCTGTTCACTGTCTGCTGTGAGAGGATGCCCTTGAGTGAGCAAGCGGGAGGACATCCAAACACCCTCAGGATGTCTAAACTCCTAAAGCACATCTTGATCTATGCTCACTTGAGACATTTATTGTCTGCCTAAATTGATCTTTTCATTTTTTTTATACAGTGGTGTATGACTGTTTGATGTTTGTTGTGATTGTATAACCCTGACGTACTTTGCAGGACAGCAGTACAAATGGAAAAGTAACCGAGAGTTTTCTTTCCTTTATGTTAATTCCTCAATTTAATCCCTGTTTGCATTTTTTTTGTTTCTTTTCCCAACAGATCTCCACACTACGCCTGTCCAGAGGTCATCAGGGTGAGTCATTTTTCACTAAATCATGTTGTTCGCTTCTTTTCATAGTGCATCATCTTATTTTAACCAACTCTAGCACTTTGCCCTAACCCGCTAACAAACACTCTCTTGTCCTTAGGGAGAGAAGTATGACGGGAGGAAAGCAGACGTCTGGAGCTGTGGGGTCATTCTCTTTGCCCTGTTGGTGGTGAGTGTCAGCTCGTTCTTTACTAACTGACGGCGATAAGACTGACATGCAGTTTAAAATTCCCCAAAGAAAAATGACATGACAAAATGTAACCATAAAGTGTTGCCTGGCCTTCATAGCTAAGCCGTAGGTCCAGCCTTTCTAACAGCTGTAATAGTTCAAAGGCAGAGAGCACGTGTGCCTGGTGACAGGACATTCCCAACTTTGCGCTCCGGCTGTTGACTTGAGGTTGACCTTACTGTAATGGAATGGGAAGATGGGGCGAGCTTGAAGCTCCAACAGAGCCTCAACCAGAAACTCGGGGTTCAGGAAGTTAAATTCCAAATTGTATCACTTAGAAGGTCTTACTGGAGAAATGTTGCAGAAACGCCCTCAAGCTGAAATTCTTGAGCAAGAGAAGATCAGAGAATAGAAGCATCTTTTTGTTCGTTATCCTCTATCCACATGCAACGCTGTATCCATAATCAGGTCTATTCTCCAGCTACATTATGCCTATGGTTCCCCAGCCATGCAGCCCTGAAGCTTTGTTTCATCAACAGCTGTACTGTAATTCCTACACATTCCTGCTCCATGAATAATTCACACAGCAAAACTGAAAGAAGACAGCCCAAAATAAATATCAACGCTGACAGGGCGGCTTTTGGCCACAGGCCCTGTATGTTTGTCTTTGGTTTTGCCTCTTTCTCTCTCACTCAGTTTCTTTCTGTCTCGTGTGTGTGTGTGTGTGTGTGTGTGTGTGTGTGTGTGTGTGTGTGTGCATTAAGGACAGTCTCCCTTGTTGCGTAAACCTAATGTTGTTTACTGTTGTCTCCATTGTGACCATACTTCTCTTGCTCCAAACAAAAGTTTCTACCCGACGCGGTTTGACTACAGATGAATTTTGTCTTTCTCCTGCTTCGATCTGTCATCTAGCTGCGAGATAACCATTTGTCTGATTGTGGGAGACACGCATACTCCCCAGCAGTTAGGCTGCTCTCAGATCATCTGTTACACAAGCCCCCCCCCC